AGAGAGAGAGAGAGAGAGAGAGAGAGAGAGAGAGAGAGAGAGAGAGAGAAATCATTTAAAAAAAATAATTTAACTAAGCATAGCTTATTTTAAAGATATCTTAGTAGCATTTGTATATTTTTAACTGGTGACTTATGTGGATTGAGATTTCCATCTTAGAACCCGAGTTATCATTAACCTAGGAGGACTGAAGAGGCACCAAAATGAAAGACCAAGAGACAATTAAAGTGCAAGATTTTAACGAGGTAAGAAATGAAAATAATAGATGATATTTTGCTTTGAGACAGATTTCGGCCAGCCAGGCTATCCTTGCACAAAAAATCCTCCTGCTTCCACCTCCCACATCAGCTTGAAAAGATAATTCTGCAGCTATATTTCCTAATACATGTGAGGCAAACCACATAAGAATGCTCAAAATACTGAAAACAGGCATAACACAAAAGAGAAAGGGAAAACAGGAGAAAGCACACCTCTGGGAAAGGCCTTTCTGCAGCTCACTGTAAGGAGAAGTTTACAGAAAGCCTCCCTGGAGAAGTCAGCAAGGCTTGTGGAAACCATAGGGATGACTAAACTTATCACTTCATTTAGAAGGGTTTAGAACAATATGGCGTACTGTCTCTGAGCAGTGCCTGTATATTTCCAGGCACCACTGTCCATGATCTTCATCTGGGGAAACTGAGGCTAGAATAATGACATGGTCAGCTCTTCCACCATGGGTGATAAAACACAGGCAGCATGGCTCTGCCCTACCAGGTGTGCTCATCTGTGGTAGCCATTTCTCTCCACCAAGCATTGCAAAGCGATTCCTCTGTGCTCACTAAGGCACATCATGATTTTAGGTGAATTCCCTAGTAGGTTTTATTAAACAACAAAAAATGTACATGGATGCACAGAACAGATATTTAAAATAAGCACTTGTCTTAGCTAGGGCTTTACTGCTGAGAACAGACACCGTGACAAGGCAACTCTTTTTTTTTTCCCTTTGGTTTTTCAAGACAGGGTTTCTCTGTGTAGCCCTGGCTGTCCTGGAACTCACTCTGTAGACCAGGCTAGCCTCGAACTCTCGAACTCAGAAATCCGCCTGCCTCTGCCTCCCAAGTGCTGGGATTAAAGGCGTGCGCCACCACCGCCCAGCAACCACCACAGCACTTGTAAGGGAGATATGGACGTGAAAGTCAGCAATAACTATGACCTTGGGAAATCATCTGAACATCTGAGAGTCACCTCTCCCATTGAGGGGAAAAATGTGATGATAGATACACTCTACCCTATAGTGGTCCTTCGGAAACAGCATGAACTAACTCATGTAAAGTCTTCAGCATAGTGTCTGATGCAGGACCCCCTCAGGAAATGGCGGCCGTTGTCACTATTACCCCAACTATCATCAGCGTTTGATTTGGGAAGATTCCATCAATGCCTTACATTGGGGCGTGGGGCAATGGCCTAGAGCAGTGGTTCTCAACCTTCCTAACACCACGAACCTTTAATACAGTTCCTTGTCTTATAGTGATCCCCAAACATAAAATTATTTGTGTTGCTACTTTATAACTGTAATTTTGCTACTGTTATGAAATGTCACGCAAATATCTGATAGGCAGGATTGTCTTAGGTGACCCCTGTGAAAGAGTTGTTCAGCCCCAGAAGGGGTCGACCCACAGGTTGAGAACTAACTCCTACAAATTGTGCTCTGACCTCTATACACACACACACACATACACACACACACACTGTGATGTGTGTGTTCTCCCTCCCACTAAACAAATAATACAATTTAAATATATTTAGTACACCATTAGCTTGTCGTCACAGTCACATATTATGCCTGCCATGGTAGCTATGCTGTAGGCAGGACAAGGCTCACTACACGTGGCAGTCATATCTACCAACCTGGAAGGGGAAATGTGCCCTGGGAACTGGTTTTCCATATCCCACATGACTATCATTAAGTTAAGCTGCAGGTTATTGTTATTAAATTTTAGAGGTAACAGTGCTTATTGTACAATATTTCACAAAGTGAATCATGGGAAATGACTTTTACAGATATTGAAAATGGGCCAAGAAAATATTAAAGTATTGGAGAGTGACTTGTCAGAAGAGAGGGAGAAGAGACAGCATCTGATGTCAGCTTTCACTGCTATTCAGAAGTCCTTGCAAGTGGATAGTGAGGTATCACATTCCTGGGTGCTGGTTTCTTCCTGGTTTTCCAATTCAGGGGTTTGACAAGATCATTTGTTTCTATTTTGAGACACATTGTGGCCTTGGGGAGACAGCTCAGTGGGTAAGACCACTTGCTATGCAAATATAAAGACTTGGGATCTGATGCCCAGTGGCACATAAAAAGTGAGGTGTGTCTGAGCAACCTGAAACTTCAGCACTGAGGGACAGAGACAGGTGGATCAAGAGAGCTCACTGGCCAACCAGCCCAGCAGAAACAGCAAGCTTCCCATTCATTCAGCAAGAGAACCCATCTCAAAGGAACAGACAAAGAGCCACAGAGGAAGACATCCAATGTCCTGCTCCACTACACTCTCATGCATGGGCCACGCAGCACAATAAAAATATAACTTAGCCTGTGATACTTTCAGTACCATTGACTGATGGCTTTTAAACAATGGAAACCTACTTCCTTACAGTCCTGGAGGCTGGAAGGTCCTGACCACCTTCTGTGTGGCCCAACATGTCAGGTTAGGGCCCCACCCTTCTGTTCTTATTTAGGTTGGATTTAGGGTCCCCCTACCCCTTGCTGCCTTTTTACAGCCCCACCCCTATCTTCCATTTGACTCCAAGACTTTCAGAGGACATCAAGTAGCCCCTCTCCTAAAGTAAATGTCATGTGACCTCTTGTCTCTTGGGTACTGCAAACTGTCATTCCCTCATTGCCATCAAACACTGTATATCTATTTAATCTATGTGAAAGTGTGAGGAAAATGTATAACTAAATATGAACTGGGTAGTAACAGATACTCAGGACTAGAGGAAATGCTGGTTCATAAGTCATTGAATACACATTGTCAGACTACACCAGGATCTGCCGTTAAGGGCAGAGTCTGAAGTTAGACAGACATGGGAATCAGCTTTCCAGTTTTCTGGTGATGTCAGTTCAAGCTCTCCTGTGTTTAAGTTCTGTCCAGCTCTACTTTTAGTAATAGCTAGGAATGCTGTAGATTACAGCTATACCACACAGTAGCACAGTGTTCTATGAACAATGCCATGAGATACAGTTTTACTTGTCTTTTTATCGGATAAGTGTGTGTGTGATTGGGGAGGTAGTTTGTTGCCATAAAGCAAGTGTTGAGGCCAGACAACAATCCCTGGAGCTGGTTCTGGGTACTTTGTTGCCATAGCTCAGGTGTTGGGGCCCAACAGCAATCCCTGGAGCTGGTTCTGTCCTTTCACTTTTACACAGATTCCAGGGATCAAATTTAGGTCAGCAGGCTTGCATGGCAAGCTGGAACACTCACAGAGCCATCTTCCCAGCCTTGTATTTTTCAGGCAAATAAATATTTAATTCAGGAGCTGATGAAGATCTTATGTTTATGTTTATCCAAGCTTTGCTTGAAATAGGAATGACTGTAGACATTTGCAGCTGGGAAGGTAAACTCTAAGAAGGAAGCATTTGGTTAACATTTAAAATTGAATGATTTGTTAGGACCATTTCAAGAATCCTTTTTAGAAATTTTATTCCTTTGCAGGAAAATAGACTTGATTTATCCTACAAAATAGCTTCATTTCTTTCTTTTTTAAAAAAAAAAAATCTTTTTTTTTTTTTTTTTTGGTTTTTCGAGACAGGGTTTCTCTGTGTAGCCCTGGCTGTCCTGGAACTCACTCTGTAGACCAGGCTGGCCTCGAACTCAGAAATCCACCTGCCTCTGCCTCCCAAGTGCTGGGATTAAAGGCGTGCGTGCGTGCGCCGCCGCCGCCGCCGCCGCCACCACCGCCTGGCTAAAAAAAAAAATTCTTATTTTTTTAATGTTTTAATTTTTATTTAAAACAATTTTTAAATTAAGAAATGATCACAAAAACATCTTCATCTCTTAAACAGGAATTCCAAAAATCAAAGTCAGAACTCCTGTGCCTTTATAAGGAAATTCAGAGTCTTCCGAGGGCTGAGGGCAGAGAGCAATTTTTAGTAGCATATAACCTGCTACAAAGAGAGAATTCTGAATTAGAAGCCAAGGTGAGATTGAATTATTATTTGATTGTTCAATATTTAACATGCCTTGTGTGTAGATAGAATAAAAGGAAACTTTTAAGTAACAGATTTAGAAATCAGAGGTTTTCACTAGCATACAATGACGTGACGTATAACACAGTTACTAGTCAGGGCAAGCATTCCCCCTTCAACCAGCACTTGGTCTTCAGGATCCTCCTGTCAATGTCTGACCTTAAGTCAGCTTCCTATCAACTGAGCTTCCAGAGTATGGGTTATAATGTGGAGTGCAGGGAGGGAACGGTCCAGAATACAGGGAGATGTGTGGAGCACGGTCTACAAGCAGCCTTGGTCTGTGGGACCTTGTTAGTAAGGTGAGTGCCAGCATGCTGTCAGTCCCACTCCTTAGCAAAAGGTGGGGGGAGGAAGAGGAGGGGGAGGAGGGGGAGGAGGAAAGTAAGGAAGAGGAAGGGAAGGAGGACAGAGGAGGAAGGGAGGGGAGGAGGGAGGGGCTAGTGATGGAGGACATGAAGAGGAGAATAACAACTCAAACGTTTCTAATCCAAGGTACACTATAAGGTCACACAGTGCATTTTAAGTACTTGAATCTGCCTGCAGCAGTTATCTGTCAGTCTGAGGTTTTTGAAGAAGTGTTTCTTAGTTTGGCAGCTTTAACAGAATGTCATATACGGGGCACTTTGAGTGACAAGCATTTGTTGCTCACAGCTCTGCAGGTTAGGAAGGCCAAGGTCAAGGGGCCAGTAGATCCCATGTGTGATAAAGGCCGCCCTCGGGTTTGCAGATGGCCATCTTCTCTTGGTTCTCTTCTTCCTCCTCCTCTTTAATCTTTGTATGTATGCACATGCTATATCTGTGTACACAAATGTTCATGTATGTGAGGGTGGACTTGCTTGTGGCACAGCATGTGTGGGGGTCAACTTCAGATGGCCTTCCAGTTGGCTTGAGTTCTGGTTATTTTTCTGCTGCTGTCTAGGCTAGGCTAGCTGATCTGCAAGCATTTTGTATCTTTCTGTCTCTGCCTCCCTTCTCATTGTAGGAGCCCTGGGACTACACACACACACACACACACACACACACACACAAACACACAAACACACACACACACACACAAACACACACACACACACACACACCTCCACCAACCCCCTCATTCCCCTATAGCATCTGGCTTTACATGGGTTCTGCGGAATCAAAACTCAGGTCCTATGCTTTGGATTCAAATGCTTTACCTGGTGAGCCATCTCCTCAACTTAAGTGGTTCTTATAAGGTTACTGATGTCATCATGAGAGCTCCACGGTTGTGACCCAGCTGCTTCCTAAGGTCCCCTCCTGAGACTGCTTTTTTGAGGGCAACGAGGGTTTCTTTTTTAGTTTAGGGATTTTGAAAGAATTACAGCCTGTTTCTTTGGAAGAATGTCCTTCAGTGTGGGTTTGTCTGGTGTGTCCCTGTTGTTCCTGACAGGAGTCCTACTGAAATGACATCTCTCCTTCTTGACACATTTTATTGACAGTCTTGAGCTACGGTGTCATTTCTGTGTTACTTGGTTTGGTTGAGGTGCTGTCTGTTGTATCGTTCCACTGTAAATCTAATGATAACATCTCATGGATGGCTTCTCTGGGATGCTACATTTCTGTCCGTCGAGGTATTGCTCATGAAAAGGTTTTGTTTTGAGCCTTTGCATCTTGACCAAGCCTCAAGCTTCTCTTCAGAGCATGAGGTGCTCTAGACTTGAAGGCACCGCCTGCTCAGCAGAAGGTGGGCTCTGCTGTATGGATTTGCCAAAGCTGCTGACTTCCAAGACATTTTGTTTGGGCAACATCTGGACTTTCACAGAAATTTGTAGCAGAAACAGGTGTGATCTTGTAGGCCATCAATTTACACCAAGAGCTCAGGGGCCCTGGGTGATTGAACTACCGCCAGGTTGCATGGAGCTTCTCAGCCTGTGGTCGGTCTGTCCATGATTAGACTGAACTATTATCACTAAGACCAAACGCAAGCTGGCCTTTTCCTACACCTGTCCTGTCCTGGAAGGGCCAATAGGCATAACTTTCTTCATGATAATTGCAAATCTTTGGGGCTAGAGAATGGCTCCAAAGTTAAGAGCAACTGTGCTCCTGCAGAGGACCCTGGTTCAGATCCCAGCCTTACACTGAGCAGCTCACAACTGCCTGCAATTCCAGCTCCTGGGGATCTGACTTCCTTTTCTGGACTCCCCCAGGCAACTCCATGCACATGCACATACATACACACATATACACATAATTTTAAAAAGATAAAAAAAATTAGCTGGTAGCTGGGTGTGGTGGTATACTCTTCTAATCCCAGCACTTGGAAGGCAGAGATAGTCAGATCTCTGTGACCTTTTGATGGATTGATTGATTTAAAAAAAAAAAGAGTAAAGCTTCCACCTGCTTAAGAGTCATTCCGACTTTGTTGGTTGTATGTGGGTCTCGACCACCTGAAAAATGCTTGGTGTTTGTGTTACTGTTGCTTTCAATTTGCTAGAGCACTCAATCCAACCAAGCTCTACTGTCTGCTATTCTTTAAAAACCAGCATTTATTATCGTTGTGTAATGCTTGCATTTTCAAAATAACTGTAAAAATCAGAAACTAAGTTGCATCTTGTAATCTTTTTCCTGATTGCAAAAAACATAATGCAAATCCATTCTACAAACTTTCTTTGAAGACCCCCCACTACCCCACTCTGCCTGTCCCTCTGTTTCTTCAGCTCCTCGTTTTGTTGCCTCCTCTCTATTCAAGGAACTTTAGTCAGTTGTATGTTAGTGTCTTTTACCACATGGTCTCCCACCATTCAAATATGGTACTCACAGCCTCCCATCTTCCAAGGCCAGTTCAAGGCCCACCTTCAACAGAAAATGACAGAGATAATATGGAGTGTAGTTTATACTGCTCACCGTAGTTTTTCTTGAGAGGAAAAGTCTTCGGAGACCAAAGGAATCTCTTAAAGTAAATTGAAACCCAGCTTTGGATTGATCCCATGGCCCCTGGAATGAAGCAAGGGTATTGTAGGGACTCTCCATTCAGACAAGCAGTTGTTTGTTCTAATTCAGTTCTGTAATGGGAACAATCTTCTATTCATAGAACTATTTCCCAACCAATCTCTCTATTCTCTAAAAGAGATATGCTTTGGTTCCATAATACATAAAGACAAGTAACCTTTAAGGGTGACAAATCTACAAAATCTTCTGAAAGCAAACAAACAAAAGTGAATATTTTGCCAGCTCCCATAATGCAGTATGCCTCAAAACACCTACATGCAACAGATTTTCCTGGAATGTTTATACGGGTTCTCATTTACACTCAGACACAGAGCCTGACATTTGGAGTTACTACAGTCGACAAGTGTCTTAGTTAGGGTTTTATTGCTATAAAGAGACACCATGACCACATCAAGTCTTATAAAGGAAAACATTTCATTGAGGCTGGCTTCAGGTTCAGAGGTATAGTCCATTATTGTCATGGCAGTAAGCATTCGGAGTGCAGACAGACATGGTGCTGGAGAGGGAGCTCAGAGTTCTACAACTTGATCCATAGGCAGCAGGAAGTCAGTGAGCAACTAGGCCTGGCTTGAGCTTCTGAGACCTCAAAGCCCACCCCCAAGTACACACTTACTCCAACAAGGCCACACTTCCTAGTAGTGCCACTCCCTGTGGGCCTATGGGGACTATTTTTATTCAAACCACCACATCAAGGTACTTTTAAAATTCAAGTGTTTCCAAATAAACAGGGCCAAACTAGAAGAAATTTCCCTTCTGTATTGTGCTTGTAGTATTCTAATATTTTCTCAAGGCAACATTATATTACTCCTTTTATGAATCAATTAAACTCAGTCAAAACTTGGGACAGATGTGTGTGGTAATCATGTAAAACCTTAGAGATCACTGGAGTTTTGTTTCTTTGTTCCTGTTTAAAGGTACAACTGAATTATAAGTAGCAATCTGAGATTCCAACATCAAGAGATCAGACTACCTTTTTGTTTGGTTGGTTGGTTATTTGGTTGTTTGGTTGATTGGTTGTTTGGTTGTTTGGTTGGTTATTTGGCTGGCTGGCTGGCTGGCTAGCTGGCTGGGTGGCTGGCTGGTTGGTTGGTTGGTTGGTTGGTTGGTTGGTTGGTTGGTTGGTTGGTTGGTTGGTTATTTGGCTGGCTGGCTGGCTGGCTAGCTGGTTGGTTGGTTGGTTGGTTATTTGGCTGGCTAGCTGGCTGGTTGGTTGGTTGGTTGGTTGGTTGGTTAAACCATGAAGTTATATTCCCTTGTATCTACTGTAAACATGGATTAAGTTATATGACACCTGAAAAGTATTTAACTGAATCTCAATAAGACTTCCTATTGGGCAGCAGTTAAGATAGCTCAAGGCAGTAATTAAGCATTTGGTAGAGTCAATGTACTTTTTTCACAGTTGTACATAAAAGTCTGCAAAATAGAGCATTTGCTTTTTCACTTAACTTCACAGGTCTTGAAGTTTTCACAAGAACTGGAACTGTTAAAACATTGCTCTATAGGGGACAGAACTGCTAATTTGATGACAAGTGAAAACGTCTGTGAAGACCTGGTGTCTAAAGGGCCACTTTTGGAAGTGGAGGCTGTGAGCCCGAGTGAGGACAGACAGGCTCTCTGGTAATTTGAGAAAATCTGAGCACAGTAACTAGAGGGTTTATTTGGGTTGATTATCCCAAGAGTCTGACATTCATTTTCAAGAGATGTGATCAGAAAAAAAATTAGTTTTAAGCATTTCCTAGAGTTTGTCTTTTTTTTTTTTTGAACAATTGTATGTTGATTACATGGGAAGAGGACAGACGGGGCAGTGGCTGTGGTACCGCCTACAGCATAGGGCAGTGGGCTGACAGGGTGTGCCTCCTCCTGACACAGCACTAACGGACATGGGAAACTCCCCCTCGTGTCTTTGAAAGCTACCATGTGCTTTGAGTTGAAGTATAGGAAGCATGTAAAAGTAAAACTGGATTATAATAACCCATAATTGTCCTCGGGGAGAGACACTCAGCCATCTCTCTTCTGGGCACGCACATTTGCAGGTAAATCATTTCTACATAATCAAGGTGGTGCTCTAAGGAGTTTCTGCTCTGCTGATCATTGGGTTTTCAGAGCATTTCTTTTCACTTGTTTAATCTTGTCCCCTAACTCTGTGATTACACATTTTTACCACAATTATCCTTCACAGAAGGGGCCTTTGGGCAAATGATCTGTTCTAGTCTGGTACAAAAAGTTAATAGCAAATTACCTTCTGTGGGCAAAAGCCTAAAGGTCATTAAGAAGGAAACAGTAGTTGCCCGTGCTCCATAGACACCAGCATGAAGGACACCCAGCGGAGACTGAGTCTTGGTGTCACCAAATTTATTTCTGCATCAGTGTTCTAAGACTGATACTGCTTCGCCAGTTTTGGCACCCCTGATTTTTGCATTCTCTTAATTTATTTTAACTTCAGAGTAAGCTCTGAGTCCAAGATTTACAACCACAAAGTGGAGATGTGTGGTGGGAAGGGCATCTTGGAGGGATGGTGGGGTGATGGGTGGGATGGGAAGAGCATTGTGGAGGGGTGGTGGGATGGAAGGTGACAGACAGGTCAGTTACTCTACTGTGAGCCACATATGAAGAAACACTGACCTAGAGCAAGAGACTGTGCGGATGTGACAGTCGGAAAATGCTTCACAGAAAGGATTGGCATGTACCGTCCCATGTGTCTGCCACTTGTTCCCATCTCCCCATCTCTAATGGCCCCACCTCAGTCAGGCCTGGAACACAATCACATTCAACAGTAGCCATTTCTCCACTTTGCAGGTGTTCTGGGCAGAGGTCGGTTTAACTTTATAGTCTCTGTGGTATAAGGGGAGAAGACAGTTTAACAAGGCACTGCTGGTTCAGTAGTCTATCAAGGGGCAAACGGGGGCATGGGGAGGCAGGCTGAGACAGAGAGAGACGGGAGGGGGAGGCAGAATGGGATGTTCAAGGGGCATATGTTTGTGTGAGGTAATTTAGAATTACCCTAGGGAAGGAGAGCGATGAGGATAAGATGCAGGCAGGATCCTGAACATGTCCGAGGGATGCCTGTGTCAGGGAGGGGTTTGTTTGCTTGCTGGTTTTGCCATATTGGAGTTAATCATGGGGCTTTACGAGCTGAGCTGTGTCCATAACCCTAGTTAGGAGCTTACACAATAAAATAACTATAGAGTTTAGCAGTCTGGGCAAAACAATAGGTTCATGCTTTAGGAAAATCACTCTGGACTTACGGTCTGGGCCCGAGCATAGAGCAGGTCACAGGCGGCAGCTCCGTACCCAACCCCAGAAAACCGAGAGAAAGAGGGACTCCCAGGAACTTGAACTCAGGCAGCATCCCAGATAAAAATGAATCACCTGTGATATCTGCTGTTAGAAGTTCTAATCCACATGCTGGCCTCTGAACTTATACTACTCAGACCTTTGAAGGGCCACTGACAAGAACATCAAACAGCTAGAGACTGATATCACTAATCTGAAGAAATCCCTCGTTTTGCTGTCTGAAGAAACCTCCTAAAATCACAAAGATCCTTATTGGACTTGATTTACACTATTACAATATAAAAGGCTGTGTACAGCTCTTGACTGTGTACAGCTCTTAAAGAAGAAGGTTGCCTTTACATAGACAAGACAAGGAGGGTTAAAGAGAGCATGAAACAGGTAGTGAAGGCCCTAAGAAAAATCAGAGAAAGAGACAGATGAATGCTGGTACAAGAATTGGTTTTCAGCCTCTCCAAGGTTGTCAACCCTGTTTCCTCCCATCTTGGGACCATTATTTGGGTTCTTTTTGCTTTTTTCTGCTGGTCCCTGGCCCTCAAATAGGTGGACTAACTCTGTGATACAATGGATAAATAATTTGGTAGCAAAACCTACTCAGATACATTATCATAAGTTAGCTATGGAGGACCACGAGACTCAAGATGAGGTTGTTACTTTATACAGGGTGTTTCCAAAACCCATCTCCACCCAACCTAAAAGGGGGGACTTCTGCCCCTAGACCAAGCAGAGAGGGGCCACCCAGAACCCCCTCTGACAGATGATCTGAATTCTTGCTTAGGCTGTGAGGCTAAGCACTGCAAGGGAATATAAATAAAAGATAAAAATATCTCTCTGGGTTCCCTGAGGGACAAGCCTGACTGCATAGGGGTTGATGTCAAAAGTATCCCCTCTCCAGGAAAAAGACATTGGGACAGGTATGGCCCTCATGCCTCACTGGACAACGACAGGGGGACTGGAGTCATTACAAGGTCCCCTTCAAATACTGGAGGTCAGGCCTCTATCCCCGCCTTTGCAAGTTTAGAATTGCCACAGCCCTTCTATACTTAGAGAAGGGAGGAGATATCAGGGGCAGCCCTGCTTACACACTGAAGGCCTAAAATCAGCCATAGGCCTAAAATCAGCAATAGGCCTGCCATACATGTATACTAACACCAAGTCTTGGGTCTCTTTGGTAAAACATTGAAACAGATGGCTATAAGCTAATGTAAACATTCAGCTTTTGTGGAAATTTACAAGCCTGAGTAGTCATAGACCTTGTAAATAGGTAGCCTTGGCAGACAATACCAACTTAGATAAGGACAAGCGAGTCATAGGCAGAGTCATAGTGACTTGTCCCCTGAACCTTCACCCAGCCGATACCCAGTTCTGAAGATATCTGTATTCCCCCTGAACACCCACACTCCATTGTCATTCCCTTCCCCACATCCTGCCTTTCTGTGTTTATAACCCCTGTGTGAATTAATTACGCTTTAAGAAATCGGTGGTGACGCAAGCCTTTAATCCCAGCACTAGGCAGAGGCAGGTGGATTTCTGAGTTCGAGGCCAGCCTGGTCTACAGATTGTGTTCCAGGACAGCCAGAGCTACACAGAGAAAGCCTGTCTCGAAAAACAAAAAAAAACAAAAAAACAAAAAAACAAAAAAAAAGGAAAATCACTCTGCCTGGTATGTGCAAAACGTATTAAAAAATAACAGGACTTAGAGATAAGTGACTATAATCAGGATGAAGAAGTTAGAGTAGTCAGTAGCTGGAGTATGAGGAGAGGCTTAAGAATAATGTTGGAGGTGTCT